TATGGATAGGCAGGATTAGATATACTTTGCTTCTGGCTTCCCCCTACTTATTTCTAAGTCTTATTTATCTATTTCCCAAGGGTTCAACAATATGCTGTATATTTCCATTTTAATATCTCGAATTTTTTTAAAATATAAAGCATGTTTTCTGGTAATAAATGAATGGTCTATATCAGGGGTGTCCAAACTGTTTACACTGAGGGCCACATACAGAAAAAACATTATGAGAGGCTGGCCCCTCAATATATGTGAGGTATACTGCCTCGTAAGTTAATTTGTAAGTTAGCAAAATCAATTCAAATTCAAGTAAATTATGCTTGATACTTGAATATGCTTTAAGAAAACAAACCAGCCAGTATTGGGAGCTTATTCCTTAAAACAGAAGCCTCAGATTGATTATAATAAGGGGAAATATGAAGGGTGTATTTCAAGCTTGTTATGCAAATAAGATTTGTTAGAAAATGTTATCAACTTTAATTGGTTTATTTGAAAAGTGGGCTCATTAACACATGAATACTACTTTGTAATATCTGTTTACATATATGTTTAAGAAGTACAATATAAGAAAAGCATACTTTTTGAATTTGCTGAGGACCAATTTGAAATGGACAATTCGAAATGGACAATTCAAAATTGTTAACGCAAGTAACGTGATCATTTTGTGCGTAGTAACTGTAATGTAATTATTGCTGAACCAACAGTAACGCGTTATACTACTACGTTACAGACAAATGTAATCTGATTACTGTAACACGTTATTTTGTAGCGCGTTACTCCCAACACAGGCTAGTTATCAGTTGAAACAATGTAATCTTTCTATGTCGTAACATTGAAATGCGACAAATTACCATTTTGAATTATCTCCCAGCCCGTCATTCCTCCTTTGATTTTTGAAATGAAATCTCATTGGTGTCTGAAGATGACATACATAAGTCCTTGGTATCCCATTACGTAATGTGTGCATACTTTGACAAGAACATAATATTGCTGCCTGTATACAGTACACAGAAACTAAAGTGTGTTTTTCAAATAACTGACCCAGAAAAGGATGGAATTGTGTGTGTTTTCGTCTGTGTGTGTGAGAGCGCATCACATAGCCAGCTCGCAGAAGATCCACCACCTTTTCTCTCATACTGAATGAATCACAGGCTCTGAGCTATAGTGTGTGTGTGTGTGTGTGTGTGTGTGTGTGTGTGTGTGTGTGTGTGTGTGTGTGTGTGTGTGTGTGTGTGTGTGTGTGTGTGTGTGTGTGTGTGTGTGTGTGTGTGTGTGTGTGTGTGTATATAAGTGTGTGTGTTAATTTCATAACTATAATCCCGTAATTGCTCATTATGATTGAGATCGGAAGATTATTTTATGCAGGATGTCATGCTGCTTGTGTGAATAAAGATGGCATATTCTCTTACATGTATGACGGTTACGTTTTTGTGTGTTTGTGTGCGTGTGTGTGCAGGAAACCCAGGGTAACGTGCTCTGCTGTGTGCCCCCTTTAGTCAGTCAGCCACGATTAGAAGGCAGAGATGTTGCTGATGATAAATTGACTTAGCATGCGTGACCAAACAGACAAATAGCCTGAAAAATCATCAATGTTTATTTTGAACAAAGGCAAGGTGAAGCCTTTTCATTTGATGCATTTTCTCAGATGCACTACATAATAGGAATGTGAGTGTAAGGAATAATGTAAAGGTAATCCAACCACTTTTTCAAGATTTGGTTTGTTCCTGAAATAGCCCTATCATCCCAACAAATAAATGTGTGCTCTGTAATTTAGATGTTAGTAAATGTCATACGGGCACCTCGGGGCCGGCTGGTATCCGTGATGTGTTGTTCTGTCTGTGACAGCATCTTGTGGGCTTGCCTGTGGACAAACTGTGACAGGAAACAGTTTGTGTGCCGGAGTGATGAAAGTGGCGATGTGGAACAATCTGATTAAATGATTTCTGTTTCACCTCCTCAAGCTAGGTCACGGCATCCCTCACGGACCAAAACCAATCTTAATAACCTTTTTCTTTTTGTCCATTTTCTTTCCCTACCTCTCTTCCTGTCTTTTATCCTCTGCTTCTTTTTTCCTCTCCAGTGTAAGACCTTAGCGGGGATATGCGACCACATCATCTCTCTGTCGTCAGACTCTCTGGTTTCTCAGTCTGCCCATCTGGAAGTGGTCCACCTCACCAGCATCATGCCAAGTGAAGGCCTGGTGAGGACCCACCTGAGCATGCACGCAGATCAATATCAATGTTCAGCTCAGCTCTACTGAGCGTTTTAGCATCAAAAGTTTCCTAAGGGCAGAATTTGGTTTCGAAAATTGGTTTGGACATATAGCATTGAAGGTATAGTAACATTTCCGCATTAAAATGTCTCAAAAACAACCTACACAATGTCAAATGTTTGTAACAATATTCAAACCAAGAGAACTTTGTGAAAACCAATATGGGTCACCTGTATTGCAGATGTGCAGATGTACAGTATCCCCTTGGGTCATTCATCAGCCTTGTCTTCATTGGCCAGAATCTGTCATAATTAGAATTTTTAACCACCTTTAAGCCCTTTTTTAGGAGAGACTTTATGAATATTGGTGGTTATTATACCTATATTTTTAAACCAGATGAAGGATATTTTTATCAGACATCTGGATCTTAAGTTATTATTTTTGCAATTCTTACTCACTTGGTAAGTTTGTTGTGGAGATGAAGGGAACTATGCGGATAATTAGTCTTTCTGTAAAAAATAAAACACCCTGAACTTGAGGGAATCCTAAGCGGGACTGACTGCAATGACGTCAATGGTGCAGAAACGCATGAGTTCTAAATATTAGGGGGACATGTTCCCTGCGTCTCCACCAAAACCTAAGCCTATGTTTTATTTAGACTGTTTTTCACACAGCATTTAAACAGCATCTCCCTTTGAAGCTGTTAATAATGTTCTTACATGACTGAATGCAAGTCTCTACAATGCCTTTGAAAATAATATTAAATATTCAAGGTGTGTAAATATGCAATGCCTGGCTTTTGCACTCTTATTTATTATTTATTGTTACAGGACTTCACCAGGTCACAATGTGAAGGTTTTGCTTTTATGTATTAAGTCAGATCTTTATGGGGATACAATTTTAAGTATTTTTGGGGAAAAAACACGAGAACTTCAGACAGAGCTCAAGAGGTCATTGAATGTGTGTAGAACATTGATGTTGAAACATAACCTTAACCCGATTGTATATTTTGCATCAATATGTCATCATCAAAACCCAAAATAAAGAGTCTAGTTTTTTATAAAAAACAGTCCTATTAGAGTTAAAATATGAGGTAATCTATAATAAGGCTCACTAAGTTTGCTTTGGAGGGTCTTGGTCAACCAACACTTCACTTATATAGTTGATAGTTACGTCTTTAATTTGTCCCACATCTGTAAGTCAGGTCAAGACAAAGATTGACAGATACAAACATTTTTTCCTGTGTATTCTATTACTCAATAGTACTATATTATACTGAATCCTGCCTGCCTATGCTTGTGTTTCAGGGGATGTACATCAAATCGACGTATGATGGTCTCCACGTTATCACAGGAACCACAGAGAATGTGAGTTTTTGTTTCACCCTGTAGGAATCTTGACACTCCGCAGACTACAACTCATGGTCTCTAATTCCACAATGACATTGAATCCAAGCCTTAATATATCCTAAATTTGCTTCCGTTGTCCTTCTCTGTCCTCCAATTACTTCTGCCTCTGCAGTCTCCGGCAGACCTGTGTAAGAAGATCCACGCAGGGGACGAGGTGATCCAAGTTAATCACCAGACAGTGGTGAGTAAAAACCTTTTAACAATGTTGTCCCAAAGAGTCAAAGGAAATGTAGTTTTCATGTATTTCTTTCTTCCGTTCTTCATCCTGTGCTACGATAAGGAGATGTACATGATGTCTACCACCACCACCACCGCTGCCATCATGGTGCTTCCTGTCCTGTGCCTGTGCAGCTATGTAGGCTAATTAGACTTGCCGCTGGAGCAGATTATATGACGATTATTACCTTTGTTCGGTCCAGTGTGATTGTCAGCTCGCTCTTTTTCCAGAATTTGTTCCCATTGTCGTTAGAAACCTCTGAAGGAGGGGGCTGGTTGAAATGTGTTCCACTTTCAGACTTGAATAACTCGTATTTTCTTCCTTCAACTCATCACATCAGAGGGAAGCACGAAAATGGGCAGCCATTTTAAATGAAAACGGGGCCTTATGAGAGCATGTGATTGAGGGCTCAGTTGATTGCCTGTGCTGTCAGCTCTGGCACAAACGATTCGTTCCAGCATTTATCGGAGATATCTGAGGGATGGGAGGAAAAAGAAAAGAAAAGTTGGTGTCTTGTGTGTCTTTTGTGTGCTTTCCCATTAGTATTTCCTGGTACGTCTCAATAGGCACTGCTCGTTTGAACGCATGGAGTGCTGTTGATTGACGCGTGAGTGAGGCATGTGTTATCTCCCTCCCTCCCTCTCTCTCATCGAGGGGACAGTGCAGATCGCACCCTGCTAGGCTCTCAGCTCCAACCCTTCATTACTCCCTCAGCTAGACCCTCACCCCTCTGATCCCTCACTCTGAGGGAGGAGATAAGCAGGGGGAGACAGAGGTGTGTGTGCAATGGAGAAAGGGAAATGAGGGGATGCTGGGAGGGGGCAGAGCTGGGAGAGTGGGAGGAAAAAGGAAGGTGGGAAAACAGAAGAAGGAAATCTCTTATCATAATACAAAAAATGCAGTCCTAAATCAAGCTGCTGATACACACTACCAGCAAACCCTCTGTCATCATCATGGGTGATAAGTTTATCTAGCAACACTCCATATTTAAAAATTAGATTAGTGTGAATATTGAATGAACAAATTCCATTACATCATACACTGAACAAAAATATAAATGCAACACTATTGTTTTTGCTCCCATTTTTCATGAGATGAACTCAAAGATCTAAAACATTTTCTATATACACAAAATAACCATTTCTCTCAAATATTGTTCACAAATCTGAAAAAATCTGTGATAGTGAGCACTTCTCCTTTGCCGAGATAATCCATCCCACCTCACAGGTGTGGCATATCATGATGCTGATTAGAAAGCATGATTATTGCACAGGTGTGCCTTAGGCTGGCCACAATAAAAGGCCACACTGAAACGTGCAGTTTTGCTTTATTGGGGGGGGTCTGGGGGGGTCCGAAAACCCTAGGGTTAAACCCTAGGGTTAAACCCTAGGGTTAAACCCTAACCCTAACATGGCACCCATCTCCTTCACATAGAGTTGATCAGGTTGTTGATTGTGGGCTGTGGAATGTTGGTCCACTCCTCTTCAATGGCTGTGCGAAGTTGCTGTATATTGGCAGGAACTGGAACACGCTGTCGTATACGCCGATCCAGAGCATCCCAAACATGCTCAATGGGTGACATGTTAGGGTTAGGGTTAGGTTTAGGGTTTAACCCTAGGGTTTTCGGACCCGCCCAGACCCCCCCAATAAAGCAAAACTGCACGTTTCAGAGTGGCCTTTTATTGTGGCCAGCCTAAGGCACACCTGTGCAATAATCATGCTGTCTAATCAGCAACTTGATATGCCACACCTGTGAGGTGGGATGGATTATCTCGGCAAAGGAGAAGTGCTCACTATCACAGATTTTTTCAGATTTGTGAACAATATTTGAGAGAAATGGTTATTTTGTGTATATAGAAAATGTTTTAGATCTTTGAGTTCATCTCATGAAAAATGGGAGCAAAAACAAAAGTGTTGCATTTATATTTTTGTTCAGTGTAGAAACATTATGTAGCCCTAGCCCACGTATTTAGCAACAGCACTGCCTTCATGTCTGTGCATGAGCTTCAGTTTGAGACCCACTTCAAAAACAGGACTTGCAGTTTTTAGCTCAGTTTTTTTTCTTTGAGGTAAAATGTGGATTTTCCTCAAATAACAAACTGACTGTTTGAAGAGGCAACATAATTATGTGGAGGTAATAGCATCTGGGAAAATAATGAAGACCCTGGAGATTTGAAAAACCTCTCCAGCAGCAGTTTATGCTCTATTATTATTCTTGGTTGGTCTCTCCCTGTCTTCCCTTTTCCCTCTGCTCGCTGTATTTGGATTAAAGAACTGTTCTAAACTGGTCTGGTTAGGATAGGCTTTGTGTTTGCTGTTAGCATACAGTACACAGTTCGCTGGCCAACATTGTGGTGGAGCTAACAAGGGATTAGAAGGTTAGCATGACCGAGTGTTATGAATGTCACAAGGCTCAGGACCCAAACGCACAACACCAGAAGCAGGTCAGGATTAACCAAGTATTTAATAAAAGGGCAAAAAAACAAAACACTCACTAGGGGGATCAAAA